GTAAAAATTTTGATTCAATTTTGGTTCTCAAAATTAAAATAAAATTTCGATTATTTTAAATTGATATCAATTTTAACCAAAACCGATTTTTACCCAACCCTAGCTGTTCCTACCGTAGCTTTCTCTTTGATTTTTTTCATGTGTAAGATGCATGATGAGCTGCTATAGATTAGGAATATTTTTTTCTATTTCGTTTTTTTTTTTTTTTCCTTTGATTGTAAATGAGAGGCAATCATCTCCATCTCTTATCTCATCCGACTCATAATCATCTCCATCCTTTATATTATCCTACTCATATGTCATGCAATTAAAACTCAGAATCTCTTACTTTTAGCGAAAAATTATAACTACTGAATTATTTAAATAGTTTATTTTTTTATTTTTTTTATTTTTTTATCCAATCTCTCAAAATTTAAATTTATAATTTATAATTTATAATTTTAAGTTTTTAACTATTTAAAATGCTTTCTCTAAACTTCTTTCCATATATTTAGATGGAAAAAAATGAATAGGAGAGAAGAAATTTTTTTTATCAATTAAATTATAATTTTTTTAACATTTTAATTTAATTAATTGAAAAACCTTTTTTTTCTCACCATTCATCTCAATCTAAATATACTATATTAATGAATTTTCCTTATCATTTTTTCAGTTTTTTCTTACCTTTTCTAAGAGGTGTGACTATGACAACACATTAAATTATTAGGACTATACATGTATTGAGATTTTTTTTATAAATAATTAATTATGGTGTATAAAAATATTAATATATAAATTAATTTTAATATGTTAAATAATAAATAGTGATTACTTTATTAGTTATTAAGTAATGATTATAATTATTAATTATTTTTAATAACTAAATAAAGTAAAATTAATATTTTAACTGACAACAGTTAAAAAATTGTGTGGCCTAACATTCTAATTTCTAGCCCTTATAACATTCTAATATGTGACCACAGCCATGCCCTTTTCTAAGGAACAAAAGAACTGCAATTGCAATTAACTTTGCAAGGTGATTACAGTACTTATCCTCATTAGCACTTTCTTTGAAGTGAGCTAGCACGGAGCACGGAGCACGGAGCCTGAATCAAATGCACCCTAAAAAAATTATTCAAAAGAGCACTGTACTTCCCTTTATGACCTTTAGAACCTATTAACTATATTAAATAGGTGTACCCTTTTCACCTCTTAAGTGAGTTCAATCCCATATCATGTTAAACTGTTTAAAAAAAAAAAGCATTGTACTTCATCACATTATTGAATGAAAATCCAATAGGAACAAATAATTAAATAATAGTATAAATCTCGAACAGCTTGCTGTGGTCAGTAGTATAGACCATGGGTTAAGATCGTTCACTTTTTGTGGGTGATGTGTTCGAGTCCCACGAATCCCTTTTTCCTTTCTCATACTTACTACATATAAATAATTTCAATCTATTAAAAAAAATAGTATAAATTTCATTTTCTTCGCATGTTACGTTTTGGGCTAGATCAATTATTGTTATCATTCAAATTATTAAGGTTATTTATTTACAATTTTATCGATTTATAATTTTTTAAATAGTTGGCACTTTCTCTATTTAAAATTAATTATTTTTTTATATTTTTTTAAATTAAAGATTTGAGAATAATATTTATATTCATTTATAATATTCTTAAAAAAATAATTTTTGTGGTTAGATAATTCATTAAAGTAAATAGATAATAATAGGGCTTAAGTAGTAACCAAATATTTATTTATCTTGAAAAATGAAAAAGAGATCATTAATTTGGGGCAAATTTAAAATTAAAAAAAAATTATAGTTATTTTGGGATAGAGGGAGTATGATATTTGGAAACATTTGTTTATAAATTGATTTTAATTTGTTAAATAATAAATATTAATTATTTTATTAATTATTAACTATTTTTAACAATTAAATTAAGATAAAAATGTGACAATTATTAGTGGCTATAGCTATAGCTGCCATGTTCACTTATTAATAGTATTCTCTCTCCTACCATTGATTAACTTGAAATTTAATTAGTCTAGGCTCCGCTTAGTATCATCATAGTTTTGAATGTTTTATTTTGGTTTTTAAAATTCTATTAAACAATCAAAATTAATAATTGCAAACTAAAATTAAAAATGTCAATTTATTAGGTATAAAATTTTAAAACAAATATTCAAAACTTCAAATTTAATTAATTTATTGAATTATTTATTTTTTTTTCTAAAATTTTTAAAATTTTAAAGATAAAAACAAAAACCTCAAAATATCAATTATACAGGACCATCAAATTCATTCATCAAAGAAAAAAGAGCACCAAGAGTGATAATTACTCTAATTAGGCCAACCATTAAAAGCTAACTAACTAGTAGTAATAATAAAGTAATGAAGTGGCATCAAAATTTCAATAAAAGCAATATATAGCTGACAATATATATGCACTCTTCCAACGAAAAAGATTTTATGTTAGACGTGGACATCTTAACCCCCCCCAAATAGAAGAAATGATAATATTGCACTTGATTTTTTTTGTGGGTAGGAGAAAAAGCAACCATAATATCATCTATATATATATCCAAATTACTACAGTCTATGTATCGACAAAATGAAAAAGTTAAGGGTGTTTCTTCCTTTAGAAGGAAGATAATTTCCGGCATGACCAAGATTGTTGCGTGCTTACAAGTTCATGAGTACATGTTGAAACCGAAATTGAAAGAGATATTGGAAGAGAGAAAGAGTGAGTCTATATATATAGATATATCTTTATCATCATTTGTACATCCCCAATTCTGAAATTAACTAAACATTTACACACCAAACTACTATAACGTCTTGATGTCCTTCTCCACTATACTGTTCCATGGCTATTCACATATTATTTCACAAAGCACATGACAACTATTTTTGAGGTATCCATTGCTCGGTAAATGAACAAAGTGCCACTTGCCTCTTCATAAGAGACAAGATCGTGACCTCTTATTATATCTATTCCTAACTAAAAGTTCATATATTTGAGGAACAAAATCATATATAAAAACCAGAAACCCTCTAGACGTCTCAAGGAAAATGTTTGGTAACTCTAAAAACATATCCTTTTGTAAGGTTTCTATGACTAGGACGTGTGGAGAATTATTATTTTTGGGGAAAAAAAGGGGGAAAGAAGTATAAACGTTTGGAGGGGTAAGTGCGTAATTTAGGAGCAAGTTATTGAACTTGAAAATCAAGAGGGAAGAAAGGAACATCCTTCATGAAATCCTCTAGGTCCCATTCCCCAATTTTCAGCTCTTCTCCTACCCAAAAATTCCCAACACTTGTCATGTTCTCTGTTTTATCATTGTTAAAGTTGCTGCTGCTAACACAGTTAATTAGATTATTAACATTGTTACTACTCCTATCATATGTATTTTCAGTTTTAGGGTTTTGTTCTTCAATATTAATGCTTATACTCTTCAGAGGAGGGACATAGATGTCCCTTTCTAACCCTATTTCAACACCTCCAAACATCCCATTTTCTGCATAGAAACTATTGTTTACCCCAACTTGTGCCATGCTCGTGGCTGCTGGATTGAGGTACCTTCCTGCAGAGCCAAACATGTTGAGGTTGTGCTGAAACATGGGTGAGGCACCACCGGTAGTGTGATTCAGGGCCATAGATTGCATGTACATGGGCACGAACCCTTGTTCTTTCATGGACATGAATCCTCGGGCCATGGCTTGATGGTCCTTCGCCTCCGACGAGGAGTCACTGCTGTTTGGTGAGGGCGTGGAAGTAGTGACGATCTTTAGCCTTTTCTTTATGGTTGAATTCCAGAAGTTCTTGATTTCATTGTCTGTTCTTCCCGGCAAACTTGTCGCAATTTGGGACCACCTTTAAGCAAGAAAAATTAACAACAGTTAGTTTTCAAGCTGAAAAATTATAGCGTTTGTGTTTTTCTAAGGATGCATAATTGCATGGTTTGCATGGAAGCTTGACTTCAAAAAACGTGATGCTCTTCCACGAGGAAGCTTGACTTCAAAAAACATAGCGGTATTCCACAAGGGCTAGAGAGTCAAAAGATTCCTAAACCATGTGGAAATCTCCGCTCATCATGAAAATGATATAATTCTTCTAATTAACTAATTAACAAACATGAATCGCATGGAAATAACTTGTAATTCAATCCTTAAATTAGAAAATGATTAAGGTTTTGAGTATCTTGAACTCAAAGGCTAGATATATATAAGATACGTTGATGGGTTTAAGGTTCTCACACCTTCTTAGCCACCTACCACCAGAGTACTAAAGAAGCTCATCAATATAATTAATTTGTTATATATATATATAATTATTTTCTAAATTTCTAGCTAGAAATTAATCTCTCCACATCAACTTCTCACTATTTTGCTTTCATATACAACCGATTTTGTATTTTTCTCCATAGAGCTAGGAAAACTTAGTATTGCATTATATAACATGGTTTTCAACCTTATTATAGTGTGTCACGTATGTGCATGCCCCACCACAGGCACATTTTTTTTTTCAAGTATAAATACAATAAAAAGGAAGGGAAAGTTCTATTTTCTTTATTTACCGAAAAAAATATTTTATGTTTTTCATTACTGTTAATTTAATTTTTAGAAGACCTCACAAAAGATATATAGGTTCAAGATATAATTGTATAATATAGAGTGGGTAATTAGATAATTAATTATTAGTTCAGCTGACCTGTTGCCTAGAATGGAATGCAAATGGATGATAAGCTCTTCCTCTTGGGGAGAGAAGGCGCCGCGCTTGAGGTCAGGCCTAAGGTAATTGATCCACCGAAGGCGGCAGCTCTTCCCACACCGCTGCAGGCCGGCATTTCTGGCTACGTCGGTCCAGCAACCTTGCCCGTTGTTTTGCATGTAGTTCATGAGCTTTTCATCCTCCTCTGGCGACCACAACCCCTTCCTCAGCTTGGTGGCTCCACCAATGCTCTTCCCCGCCGAAGGATCAGGCTTCCTCATGATTTGATTTGTTTTGGTGGGTATTTTCCTCCCAACTTGTTTGATGTGGATTAGTGGTGACTTTATAGCAGGCAGAGGAGGCTTATTGAGTGGAAATGGTCATGATAATGATGATGGTGATGGTTGTGGGGTTTGCTTAGAACACAGGGAATAGAAGAGTTGTTGATGGGTCTAAGTAGGAAACGGTTTGGAGAGGGACATGAGATGAGAGAGGAACTACTAACTTTGATCTTTGAATATTACTACATTAGTCTTTTTCTTCCTCACGTATTCCTTTTTCTTAATTAGACGATATATATTATCAATTAGTCAATTTGTATTTTTTTTTATATATTAAAAGATTAGTTACAAATTGACATTACAAATAATTAAAAGATTTTTAAAATTAATAATCTCTCATATTGATATTAGTAATGTTGAAAAAGCATGCATGCATGCCTCATGTTTAGGTGCTATGTGGTGCTCTATCTATCACCTTTCCTAAATCCTAAGCAGTGAAGTTATGCGTTGTTTCTCTTTCATTTTTATTTATTTATTTATTATTTTTACAAAAAATTTTGTTTTATTTTGGCATTTTTTTTCTTTGAAAAAAATTGAAAACACCAAGAGCACTTAACATCACTTGGTATTGGGTGAGTTTATGGAACTGTACTAAATAAACTAAATTCATGTCTCTAACCAAGAAACAAAATCATTTACAATATCAAAATTATATATTAAACGAATATCATTCATGTTAACAACATAACATGGTTGTAGTTTTGACTCTTGCACTTGACTAAAACATGGAATCTATGGTTTCATACTACGTTGACAATAAGTAAAAACATAGTTAACAAACCTTATCATCTTCTCAACAAATTTGTACGTTGTATATGCAATTTGATAAACCTTAACTAGTTAAATTTTTTCTAGAAATCGAACATTAGTCCTTCATTTCTTTCCGTTCTGCCAATAGTTTTCAAACTTTAGTCATGCAAAAACCCATTGTCCTACCAAATACACAATTCATTTGAGAGTCAGCATATTTTTTTCTTCAGTCACAAGCTAATGATATAGAAAAGGCTGAAAACTTATGTGCGTGTCTACAGGGGTTTTTGTTTTATTACTAAGCTAAGAATTTTGCTTCCACTTCACATTATCTCTTTTCTCTCTCACCTTCCCTCATTAGTCCAACACGTGTATTTGAAGATATACAAGTACAATATTTATATACAGTAGAAAATATAATTTTGTCATGATACACGTGGGTGTACCCATTAAGCTAATTAAATCACCCACATTATTGATTAGGTGTTGGCCATATTTGTGTTCAATATGTATGTTAATTTAATAAATAATTCGTGTATTTAATGTATAAGTTAAAAGTATAATTAATATATTTTTTATCATTAAATTTTATAAAAAAAATAAAGGATGAGTTTATTTTTATCAAATATTCACTTATAAAAACATACATGTGGCATTAGGATTAAAATTAAAGTTAAACTTTTGTGGTTTTCATATGATTTAAAAACAAAAACATGCAAGGTGCATTAACTTATGCTACACGAGAAAAAAAAAGGGTTTTTCATCTTTTTTGTCATAAAATATATAAAAATTCTATAAAAATTAATTTTAATTTTAATGTTGGTATTAAGTAGATGTATTTAATTAAATAGTTAATAAATTAAAAGTTAATTTTCATTTTTTAATACAAATTTATATTAAAAAATATAGTAATATAAATATATTTACTATATTTTTTAATTTAAATTGTTAAAAAAAAAACTTTAAAAGGAAAAGGGGAAGTAGAAAAGACTTAATGAAATCTAAAATTCAAAACTTGCGGTGCAGGTCACATATATGAGAAAGGTCAAATAAAAAAAGACTAAAAAAATCATCAGTCAAATTCGTATGCCATTATTACAAAACCCCAGTTTCTACCGGTCCAAAAATATCTAAATCATTAGATACATATCTAGAGTATATACGCAGAAAATCCACACGTAAAAACACACGGTGAAACTTACACACAAAAAAAAAAAAAGAGGTTGTTTTTGATTAAATAACTAGTAGCTCAATAATGAGGTGCATGGACCACACTATATGCTTTTAAAGTCGAAAAATAGTATAGAAGAATTGATATTGAAGGAAAGCTGAAGTATCTTTTTCCTTCATTTTTCAGCTTTTGGAATCTTTTATATATATATATATATATA